TCATGATTTCTGATGATTGATATCTAATTAACAATTATTATTATAAAAGACATTAATTATCTTTTTTGTTCATTTTGTCCGAACATTCATTCCATAATAAAGTTTAAAATTGGTTTGAATTTTGATTTACTTCTTAATTCTCACTCAATCATTACAATTGCATTTGATTTGTATATTATATGTCATTTTGCTTTCAATTCATCCGCTAATCGAGTCGTCAGCATAAGAGATGGTATTGTCTCTCACGTGTGTTATTGACCCTCAAATGGTGCGCCAATTGATAGGCAAAGGAATGTCGACTAAGCCTTTCCATTAGTGGTTGATATGGCCGTCAATTTACTGTATCTGTTAATGAGATGCAGAGCCCCTTCTCAACGGAGTGAACCGTTTTATCAGTCAAACGCACAGTTAGTCATAATTATATTGCTTTAGAGGAAGTGGTTGACAATATTAGTAAGTATTTGTATTACAATCACAAACTAAACATTCACTGAAAGTCTCAATAAATTGGCTTTTATTGATAATTCGTAAGATATTCCGTAATAATAATAACAATTTTCTCATTGAATGATAAATGAATGGAAAGAAACTATTTTGACTGAATTGAATGTACAATAAAAACAAAATTTAAAAGTTTTCAAAACTTGTTTCTGGTATTTAAGAACCGATTACAGTATACAATATATGCAACAGAATTGAGTATTCAATGAATATAATTCATGATTTTTGAATCAATGTTTCGATGGAAAACCATTTATTATCCAATATTTTGTCGCATAATTCCCCCGCAAAAGAGGTTAACAAACTCAACACCAAAATAAAAAATCTTTTTTTCCACAAAATTATTATTCTGGACATCGAATCCCATATTTTTACAGAAATTTTTAAAGACAAACCGGATTTACAGCCCTCTCTCTCTCTCTCTCTCTCTCTCTCTCTCTCTCTCTCTCTCTCACTGCCGACCTCTTCCTTATCGGTCATTAAATGTGATTCAATTTGAATAAGTATTTCATTTCATTCATTGGATTTCTCCAAAAACTAAAAACATTTGCTCAGAAAATATCATATTATTCATAAACCACTGGAAACTCATCTCTATTTCGCTCACAACTAGCGCTCATTAATTAGGTTTTAAAAACTGATTCACTTGTTTTGAAAGACAATCAATTAATTGCCTTTTTCTAAGAGGTAAACACTTTTGACGGCATTATAATTGTAGCAATGAATTGATTGCTTAATGTTTGCGGTTTTGCTATCAGTCTCTTTCTCTCTCTCTCTCTCTCTCTATCTCTCTCNCTCTCTCTCTCTCTCTCTCCCTCTCTCTCTCTCTTATCGCAAACTCCTCTTCCCATTCACTCCCAATATAATGATTACATGTTTTTCCTGTTCGCGTCTATGAAAGATGTTTGAGTTTTTCACTTTCTATCGGAAAGCCATCCCTAACTGTGCTCTCAAAGCGAATAAATTAAAAATTAAGCGAATCTTCGCGCTTAGGGGTCATGACATCCCATGAGGTGAAGGGACGGCATCGGCAGTCTATATAAGCGGCAGGTTTTTGGCTGCTCTTAGTTTTTTGATCATATTTTCAGCGACAGACAGTCCGCACAGTTTTGTGGCTTTAATTCGTGTCAAGTTTTTGCCAAAAAGTTATCCAAAAATATGAATTCTTTTGTGGCATTCGTTCTGTTGTTAACTATTTCTAAGGGTATGTCAGAACTGATTGCAAACTATTTGGACACAACTTCTTAAGCGAACAATCAATTCATGTGATTGTCTTTCCGGTGAATCTCAGGTCTTTCGGACACAACGCAAACCGAATCAATCGATTCTGTGGTTAACGGAGAGGACATTAATATCATCAAAGAGTCAGAGGATGGCAGCGATCCGACGATTGTCTTCTCGGAGACCATTAACAGCGCCACCAAATTGCTGTACGACTTGGATGTTCACGTCCAGCAGTTAGTTCCTGTCGACACTCCGGCCCCACCACCACAGGCGCCCGTCAGTGGCGATGAGATCGGAGGCCGGGACGACAGCACCACCACTCAGGAGGCGCCCACATCCGAGCCCCAGATCTACAGTGCCATCAATAGTGAGTTCGAACTCGCGCTCAGCAAACAGGGCGAGAGTGTCGGCGCTCTCGTCACACAACTGGACACTCTTCAGAAGAGGATTCAGGTATTTGTGGCACAAAAACTCCATTTCCTTCTAATTGCTCACTATTAATGGCACTGAACTGTCGCTAACTCTTAGGACACGGTGTCTGAGCTGCAGACCCGACGCCGTTATATCTTGTCCGCTATGTTGCGACCAATGCTCAACTCTGTGCGTCGGATCAGATCCAATGTGGTCCGCATTCAGACCCAACTGGTAAGCATTCAATCGGCCGCTAATAACGTTGGGTCCGGCAATAGACCGGCCGCTCAGACTCTGGGCGCCGCCGACCAGACGGCCATCGATAGCATCCGAAAGAGGGTCGACGACATCCAGAAGCGAATCGGAGACATCATTGGTCGCATCAGTTCGTCGCTCAACATCCCGGGCACTGGACCCGCAGCAGCCAACAGTCAATCACAACCTACAGGCGCGGCGGCGGGCCGTTAGGCTGGGCTTACATTGCGATACAACCACTGAAAAGGCATCACTTATTTATTAGACAATCATTTTATTTATATAAAAACATTTAATTATTTTTTTTAATTGATTTCATCCCTCATTGGCTCTTATCTCTCACTCTCTGTCTCTCACTTCACACTTGAAAACTAATCATTAGAAACGACTTAAAAGCTCATTGTCTTAGTCTCTCAAAGCTTTCAAAACACTTAATTATTAATGTTTTTTAAAATACATTTTATATCTTAAGTGAAGTACTTATTAATTATTAGTTTACGTAATGTGTTAAGTGTTTCGTTCATTACTGTAAGTCAATTATATGTGTGATTTGAATCTGAAGTTTTTTGTTTAAAATAACATGACTTTTCTTATAAAAATCTTATTTAACAGTAAATAAATAGATATTAAACACTAAACAATAAACATAGCCATAAACTAATTTGTTTTTCATATATTTTTTTGTGAGCACTTGTCGTTCAAATTGTTTTGAGAAAAATATAATAAATTCTTGTATTCAAATCATATGTTCAATACATTGACTAAAAAAATCTTACAAAAAAAATCTTACAACAAACTTTTTATACACAAAACATAACATTCAAAGATTTGGCAAAAAATATATAACAAAAAACATATAAAACTATTACAAAATAAATTAAATAATACTGAATATAGGAATCGATATATTTTTTAACAAATCATTGGCGGCGACCACACCATCGGTTNTTTTATACACAAAACATAACATTCAAAGATTTGGCAAAAAATATATAACAAAAAACATATAAAACTATTACAAAATAAATTAAATAATACTGAATATAGGAATCGATATATTTTTTAACAAATCATTGGCGGCGACCACACCATCGGTTTCGATCATCTTTATGAATGGGTCCAACATATCCGTGTCCTGAAGCATACGGTTGATGATCATACTGACGGCCGATGACAGGTTGCCCAACCCCCTGATGACGACCAGTATCTTTCCGGGACGCCATACCTTTAACCGGTCGATCCGTTGCTGGACCGGCACCTCCTCTGCGTCCTCATCCTCGCTCTCGGGCGGACTGTTCTGCGAGATCTGCACCTGAACTTTGGGTCGTTTGATTTGGGCCTCCAGTTCCCCGTCAAACAACAGCTTCCAGTCCTGTATGACTCGAAACTTATACATAACGCGCGCCTCCTCTAAGCCGATGGTCAGCCCCAATGAAATGGTATCGTTTTGGCACAACACCCACGCGGGCTTACGTCTCTCAAACCTAACCCATGTATCAAAT